TGTAATATTTAAAATTCAGTTACATGGTACTGACCATCAGGAGTCCTGGAATAATTTGCTATACATAACAGATTTAAAAAATTAACAATGAAGATATAATTGCATTATTCATAGTAAATGAGTCTTCTTATTAATTAATATAAATGATTAGGAAAACATGTATATCCTCCTTGTTTCTAAGAAGGACCACCAACTCAAGAGAAAAGGAACTGAGAAGGCTCAGTCCCTTTCTCTCCTTTGGGATATGCCTGCCTCATGAGAACATGCACACTCATCTACTCTGCATGGGGCTTGCAACTATCCAGTTTTGCCAGTAGCTGGGTAAGAAAATACAGCTCTTTCACATGTGAATTTAGCAAATCCTATGTTGCAGAGACCTAAGCTACACTGTCCAATATCCAACAATTTAGAAAGTAAAGGTCACTTGTAAGGGATAAAAAAAGAAAAACACCATATTCAACTTAGGTGCTTCTCAAATGTAAGTAATTCAAAAACAAGGGGAGTTTCTAAAAAAAGATCTAGTTAGTAAAATTATATTTTAAAACACACACATACCACGGTAATTAACAATGGCAGTTAGTTTTTAATGTAAAATGTTATTCATTTTTAACAGTTTAAGCCAAGTATTTTGTCAATAAGCTTTTGTTCTTAAGACTAAAATGGTTCATCACTTTTAAGAATGCTGAGAAAATATTATTCTCAGACTCCACCATCATCTCTCAGATGACAGCAGCAGTCTCCTTGCAGGACTGTGACAAAGACCACAGGAGGCCACTGAGGACCTCAGCGTGAGCTGTGGCCCAGAAAAAGGACTCGACACATGTCATTTCTCAACCTGGGTCTCTTAAAGGCAAAAATCACAAACTGTAATAACACTACTGAGCACTCTTTAAAAACGATTCTGCAGAGAGATGCTCATGTCTAACAGCAATATGGTTTATTTGCCATTTAGCACGAATCAAACAAAGTCTCAAAAATTGATAGTATGATTCACTTTTAGCAATCATGGTAGGAACTCTAGAACCATACTGAGCTATTCTTTCATCAAAGCTCTTTCTCTTTCTTTTTCTTTTTAGTGAGGGAGGAAGGGGGGGAAGAGACAGAGAGAGAGAAAACCTTTAGGAGGCTCCACGCTGGGGCGCCTGGGTGGCTCAGTCATTAAGCGTCTAAGCGTCTGCCTTCGGCTTGGGTCATGGTCCCAGGGCCCTGGGATGGAGCCCCACATCGGGTTCCCTGCTCCGCGGGGAGCCTGCTTCTCCCTCTCCTACTCCCCCTGCTTGTGTTCCCTCTCCCGCTGTGTCTCTCTCTGTCAAATAATAAAATCTTTAAAAAAAAAAAAAAAAAAAAAAGGAGGCTCCACGCCCCAGCGCAGAGCCTGACACAGGACTCGATCTCCCAACCCTGAGATCATGACCTCAGTCAAAATCAAGAGTCAGACACTTAACTGACTGAGCCATCCAGATGCCCCTCATCAAAGCTCTTTCTTAGCAGTGGAGAATATTCACGTATAAATGGCTGAACACTGAATAAATACAGCTATATATTTCAAACTTAATGGATGGGATGTCTTATCTAAGGATAATTTTAGTTTGTTAATGACAATCCAGTGAATGCTATGTATTTTTTAAATTGGTCACAGTGGTACAGAAATAAGTTCCTATCTTTTCATTAGTTAAGAGCTTACTGACCTTTATGATATTTAAATCATTCACTGTATTAGAGGTATAAGGCAATGCATATATATATGTGCTTTTACTCAGGCAATTAAAAACTTTTGACTTGAAAGAATAATGCAACTTATGACAAAAGAGAACTAAGTCACAGTCTAAGCAACAGAGAATCACTAAAGCATCTCAAATCTACTTTACAAAAAAAAACAACAAATATTTAGATGATTCTTCCAGTCTAAGCCTAACTTGCATTGGCTGTAGAAGCCTAACTGATGAAATACATGGGACACATATGCAGGATATTACTTATTAATTTATGTTAATAGCTGAGAATAACTGCCCTAACTATTCTGAACTTTATCATCACTTTGTAAATGTGCATAAGTCTGAGAGAAGGAAATTACCTCAAACTATTCAGGAGGCAATAGTACATCGTGACACTGAGGTAAAACAAAAATAAAAAGATTAAAAAAAGAAACAACTTCCCAGAACTGATTCCAATAAAAATTAATGACTGTTAACCTCACCAGGGCTTGGGAAAAAATGGCTTGTCCGTAAATCAGTTCTCTCACTTTCAAAACAGCTATTTTAAACCTTTCCCCACCTCTCCGTATGTTTGTACTCTACCATCTCCTCCCTCCACCATTCTCAGCCTCTTATATCATAGATTAAAAAAATGAACATCCTCTAAATGTACTAATGTTTGCACCTGCTCTTCTCTTCTACCTGATGGGTGATATGTGAACTGATCTCTCTTACTGTTCTCCTTCCACTCCTGCCCCTCTGCCTTACCAGCCCAGCAAAACCTCAATCCCAATAAATAATGTATCTATCTGCCTCCTCTACTTCCACACACATGCTGCCGAGTGCCTGCAAGAAGAAAATCACACACCCACATGGATAAGATCCAGCACAAATTTATCATCTCCAACCTTCACTGGACCCTCAATATCGTTTAATTCTTTTACCATCCCTTTCAACTCTCTCTTTCATTCCCTTTCATAATATTCCAAATCATCACAATTTCCTTAAGTCCCCTAACTTACTCCAAGGCTCTTAACAGACCACATCTTCTGTTGATGACTACAAGAAATTGAGGATATCAAGCAAGATTTTATTCAACATCCCACCTAACTACACATCATATTCACACCCAACAAAATGTGCTCTTCTCCAGGATGGAGTATCTTTCTCCTGCTCAAGGCTCACCTGCCCCCAACTCCTATAATTTGACTCCATGCTCTCCTCCCTCAATCATTTTCACTCTTAAAAATTTCCAAACTTCCTCTTCTGCTGGTTTTTTCCCTTCTCTTTATTAGCCAGCATCTCCATCTTTACAATCAAAGCAAAAACACTAGAAACACACACACAAAAAAACCCCTCTCATCACCAAGTTCATGTCCATCAATCTCTTTTGTTCTCTTTTCTTTCAAATTTCTACAAGCCCAGTATATACCTACTGTCTCTTTTCATCTCCCATTCACTCCTCAACTCACTGTTTTCTGGCTCTGCCATTCTAGTAACCTACAAACTTGCAAATTTCATGAACATTTTTCAGTCCTCATCTTACTGGGTCTCTCTATGGTACATGGTAGTGTTGACAATGTAGTACTCGCTCTCTTCTTACATTTATCTTTTGAGCTCTATAACCACCCCTCTCCTGATTCTTTTTGTACTGCTACGGACCAGCTCCTATTCTGTATCCTTCATGGGTTCCCCTCCTTTCATTAGACATTCATATTCTCCATGGTTGATCCTTAGCCTAGTGCTCTTCTGGCAGTATAAGCCCTGAGTAATCTCTCATCTCCTTCCAGGATTTCAACTACCCCATCTGTGCCAGAGTCCCCAAAGCACATATCCAGCCAAATCTTCTACCTGAGCTTCTAAGTATATTCAGTTTGGATCATTGAGTCTGAACTATCTGCAAGCTTCCCAAGTGATTGGGAAGCTTGCAGATAGTTCAGACTCAATGATCCAAACTGAATCTAAACTTTCTCAGCAATTGGGAAAAACATTCCCAATTACTTTCCCAAATTAGAAACCTAGTAGACAGCTTACCTTGGTCCCTTCTACTCTCTAATTCTATTGCTTAAAATACTTCATTGGCTCTGCATGCCTCCAGGAAAAAGTACTGACTCCTAATACAATATACAAACCCATCATGATGTACCTCCTATCAATCTTGACAGTCTTATTTTTTGTTCCTCCTCAATATAAAATCAACTTCTGGGACTCCTTACAGATTTTGGCACATATTAAAATATCTGTTGCCTTTTATCTTGACTCATGCTTTAACCTCTTACTCTAATTACCTTCTTGGTTAATTTGGTCCAGTTAATTCCAATTGGGCTAATGCTTATCTTTTAAGGCCTCAAGAATCACATCATATTCTTTTTTTTTTTTTTTTAAGATTTATCTATTTACATAGAAAAAGTGCGTGCGCATGTGAGTGGGGGAAGGACAGAGGGAGAGAGAATCTCAAGTGGACTCCTCGCTGCGCATGGAGCCCAATGCAGGGCTTGATCCCACCACCCCCAGATCACGACCTGAGCCAAAATCAAGAGTCGGATGTTCAACTGACTGAGCCACCTAGGCACCCCCACATCACATTCTTGAAGGAAACTTCCCTTCCCCAATCCCCACAGACTTTTAGACAACTTTCTTTTAAGGGGTGCCCTTCAGTACTGAAAAAGCTAAAAGTAGGAGCAGTAATTGGCAGTGAAGAGTAGTGGGGCATCTAAAAGCCCTATGGAACTACCTGACTTTTTAAACTATGTATTTGTACACCTTTGATAAAAATATAAAAATTATTTTAAATATCCCCACCAAGACTGCTACCCATGTAACCAACTTGACAAAATTGGTTTTAACTCTATTTAGACTCTCTTGGGCCTATAACTATCCTCTTTCAAAATCTCTTACAGAAAACCTGCCAAACAAGAAAGCAAACTGAGATGGTTCTGTAACGTGTACAAAATACTTGGGCAATTACATTCTATGGTGCAATAAACTATAATTTCAAAAAAATAATGGAAATAACAAATGGTAATTGATAACCTATCCCTCTTCCAAAACTCAACCATTATAGGAACATTTTACAGAATACTCAGTCTTCCTTTTATCTGTTAGAACTAACTGGAATTCACTCTGACCAAGTCTCAGGTAAAGTCACATGGCTTTACAGCAAATTGAAAGGAAGGAATGAAAACATCGAGCTTCTTAAAAACTCATTCTATCATTTTTTCCTATCTGTGATTTACTATAACCTTAAAATTCCTGCAGTGCTACCCAGTCCTGGAAGGAGGCATGGCTTTGGCAACGTGGCCTTACCCTGTTAAACACTGGCAGCATCATGTACAGCTTCTCCTCTTGTTCCTTCTGAGTCATGTGCCGGGGAGGATGGCACAACTCAGTGAAGAGACGGCGGAGGTGCATCAGTCCTAAGGCGTTGTCTTGGGGGCTGCACTCCTCCTGCCTCGGTCGCCCCATGATCCTCTTCACCATGTTCATCTTGGCTGGTTAGTGATAAACACTTCTAATTCTGTGGGAAGATGTTCATACGCACACAGTCAAAATGTCATCATCCTGACCAGGTCAAGAGCTTATAAAAAGTCAAAAAACATTTCTTTTTCTACTTCCTTAAATTGAAAAGGTAGAGAGGCAAAGCTAATTGTGATAAATCTCCCTAAGTGACAGATCAGTAATCATGGCACCCAATAGTCCTACTAGATTTGGCACCATTTGTATAAAATGTAAAACATTAAATGTAAAACATTAACTGGACAAGCATCAAATGTTTCCAATTTAGTCATATGAAATTCAACAAATAAATGGACCAAAGATCTCACTATTAATATGTTGCTTAATAGCTGAGCATATGTAAAAAGAATGAAGAATAGAAAGTTCACCCTCATCTCCAAACAACCAAAACAAAACAAAACAAAGAAACAAAAAACCCTACCCCCCAAACATGAAGTTTTCTATTTTTAATTATTTAATTTTTTTTCTAGATGAAGGATTACAGTTCAGGTACCTGTTCGAAGAGCCTACTTTGTTATAGTTTGAAAACATGCAAATTAAAACAAATACATCCCAATGTATTTTACAAATCATTAAGACAGTAAAAATTTTCATATACCTTAAGACTACTTTTTCAAACTATAGTTTGAAACCCTTTGGCAGGTCATGTTAATTCATTTAGTGGATCATGATGAGCATTAAAAAAAAAAAAAGTGAAATAGAAGATATTGGAATACATATAGTAAGGGTGATTATTATTTCATGAAACTTATTTTAGGTAATTCATGCATACTCAATCACAATGTAAAATGTATCCCTGGCTAGAACTGCAGTTAAGAAATCAACCAACCAAACACTGGGTTAGACAATGTACCAGAATCAATAACACTAAGCATTCAGAAAGCATCATCAGCCCTTTTCAACCACCACTCACTGTGCCAGCAATTAGCTAATTTCAGACACAAAAAGAGGATATTTTACTAAAGGAACCAGGAAAGCTGGGAGGAGATTATGAATATACAGAATTTGGATAAAAGGCAATTTGCTTTTTAATCTGTAGAAAAGCAGGAATAACCTGAAGATTACTTTTTAATTTTGCCACATAACCACATAAGCCAGTAATGTCATTTCTTAAGAAATGAAAAGATTACTGCAAGGCTAGAGCTTTACTTACTAAACAGCTGTCTCCTGATTTTTAAAACTCTAAGAAGAACTGGTAACTTAAATATGCTTGCCCTTGAGAATTTTGAGTGAATTGCATATTTGGCCACTGGTACATGCTTATGCGCTCTAGCCGAATGCCACAGGAGGCCATGAGGTGACTCACCTCAGGTGAGTAGAAAGACATGGCCTAGAGCCCTGCCAGTGGTTCCTTCTGGGCCGAGTGACCAGTATCTAAGGGGCCCAATCCCAGGGAAGAGTACTTAGACACACAGGCAAAGGCCAAAAAGAGCCTCTAAACCATAAAATGACAACATATTTCATCCTCAGAAAACACGTAAGTCTTCCAACTATAAGGATTTCAACAAGTATATTCAAATCACCTATATACTATTTATAGTCCCGGAGAGCCCCAGAACAAAAATAAAATTTGAAGTAAATTATAAAACTTTTGATAATTAGCTAACATTTTAGATTATGCTTATCTCTGCTCTTTTCCCTTAGCCCACAACTAGAGTTCATAATCTAGACAGTCCTGGAGAGGATTCAGGAGATTCCCGTTCCTCTAACACCTCAAAAAAATTTATAAGAGATCCCAGCTTTCCAGGGGTCTATGTCATTTTTTAAAAAGTCAACTATTGCACCATATTAGAGTTTCAAAGCCCTTTCAGACTCCTCCTTCACTCTTCATTCTACCTTAAGCAAGTGGGTGGAAGAGAAGATTAACTCTACCTTTATATAAGGCCTCGAGACAAGAGCAACTTGCTCAAAATCTCACAGTGATAAAGAACTAGATGAAAATCCAGACCTCCTACCTCCTGGTCAAGTGTCCCTCCCACTTACTCATATTCACGTGCCATTTTTTTTTTAAGATTTTTTTAAGATTTTATTTAGGGACATTTGGGTGGCTCAGTTGGTTAAGCATCTGCCTCCAGCTCAGGTCATGAGCCCAGGGTCCTGGGATCCAGCCCCACATTGGGCTCCCTGCTCTGTGGGGAACCTGCTTCTCCCTCTGCCTCTGCTGTTCTCTCTCTGTCAAATAAATAAATAAAAAAAGATTTTATTTATTTATTTGACAGAGAGAGCACAAGCAGGGGGAGCGGCAGGCAGAGGGAGAAGCAGGATCCTCCCTGCAGAGCAGGGAGCCGGCGTCCGGACTCATCCCAGGACCCTGGGATCATGACCTGAGCCAAAGGCAGACGCTTAACCATCTGAGCCACCCAGGTGCCCCTTTAAGATTTTATTTTTAAGTCATCTTTACACCAACGTGGGGCTCGAACTCACAACCCTGAAATCAAGAGTTGCCTGCTCTACTGACTGAGCCAGCCAGGCAGCCCTCACGTGCCTGTTTCAAATTACAGAATTCTTGGAAACTGTAACTCTAGCATATTTATTTAGCACCAAATAGCAGGTAGAATGGGAAATAAACCTTTTTGATTTTTAAGATTCTAAACTTATCAACTGTCATTTAAAAAAAAAAAAACACATGATCACATAACGACAAACATGAACTATACGTAATGAAACTATGGTACCATCGTTAGTTAATATTTATCTGATACAAAAGGATATATATCAATCAGCTAAGTGGGTTTACCCAGATAATCTCAGTGATGGAAAAAATTCAGATTCCTCCTTTCTCCTTACTTAGCAAGAAACACTTAAGCATATCAGATTGCTGGATCATTATTTTGTCTCCACTCCAATATTTATATTTAAAGTAGTGTTCAGACCAAGAACTACCATGTTTAAAATACTCTTCAGCAGTGAGAGACTAAAAAGAATAAGCACTTTTCAGGCAAACCTGTACAAACATATCCACATGAGACAGGTAACTTCAGGTGAACCCCCTTGAATCTTGGGTTTCTCTCAGCTGTAAAATCTTTCCTCACAGCCTTTCTGTAATGCATACATAAAAGAACTTCATTTCTATTAAGTGCCGAGCACATTAGTTACATTCAATAATTCTTTTTTCTTCTTTTGAGCCTAACCATGAAACATTTAATCCTTTTCATTTACATTTTTAGTTATTTAAGCAAGTAAAGAAACAGTTTAAGACTTTACAGTACTATGTTTTAGAGGCTCACCCAATGATAAAAGATAAGCAAAATATTTATTTCTTTGTTAGATACTCAATATGAGACTTATTAAAGCAATATAAAAGAGATATGCAAAATATAATAATAATAATGACAAACCACAGAATGATTATTTTGGGGATAGTGTTATTAGAGGTTTTCAAAATATTTATAAAGATTATTCTCTATAAGAACTAGTTTTCTAATAACAAACCCTACTTTGTTTCACAAAAGTATTTGTACTGCCACAGTGCCAACAGGGGGTTATTTAAATAGGAATGAGATAATTACTGCAATGAGCCCAAGACAGTATTTCTTATTCTAATCTCTTGTGCTAATGCGTGAAAATCCCAGATACTTTAACCTTCTCCACCCAAAATTCTTTAAAGAGTCTGCCATTATTTAAATTACAGAAGGGTATAAAACAAGTAAATAGCCTAAGTTTTAAAAATATATTTGTCAAGTAACTAGCTGCCTTTAAGTAGCTCAGCCAAAAGCTTAAAATAGCTTTCCCAAAAAAAAAAAAAAAAAAAAATCCCTTAATTCCACAAGAGAAAAAATAAATAGCTCACATGGCTAAGGGAAATCTTATAATTTCTTCAAAGAACTACAAGTAATTTCTCAGGTTTTTATTTTGTTCTTAAACCTTCTTCATTGTGAAGAGCAAAAGCAGAACTTCTTACACTTTTGAAGAGTGAAGGGCAAATCTTGGAGAGGCTCCCAACACACTGGGTTTATCACCCAACAATCTAACATATATATACTTTGAAAAAGACCTAGGGCGCCTGGGTGGCTCAGTCGGTTAAGCGTCTGTCTTCTGCTCAGGTCATGATCTCAGGGTCCTGGGATCCTGTCCCGCATTGGGCTCCCTGCTCAGTAGGGAGTCTGCCTCTCCCTCCACCCCTCCCCCCTGCTTGTGATCTCTTTCCCACTCTCTCTCTCAAGCAAATAAAATCTTAAAAAAAAAAAAAAGGCAAAAGACCTATAGATATAGTCCTGAATTAGAATTTTTCCACCCGCTAAAGCATTAAGTTTTTTGTCTTACCAGAACAGTCATTATCAGATTTTAGCTTCATCTACATTACAAGATCAGCCACCTCATTTATATGGCAAAATACAATTACTTAAGACCTATTCCCAATATCCCCTCATCCTTCCCAGCCCATCTGTACACTCATCATCCACACATACACTGAACTAGACAACTTCTCAAAGCATCTTTTCGGTGTGCTTAATTTTCTCTCTTCAGAGACAAAAGCATATTCCAAAGTCAAAAGCAACTCGCTTCCATTTAAGAACATTTCACTTACATATGATTTCCAAGTACAAGTAGCCACTGTTGACATCTCCCTAACACCTCTCTGAACCCCTCTTTCTAGCAGCTTCTACTGCTGTTTTGGGAGCCCCAAAGGCAAATTTAATAGTTAAATAGCAGATAGATTACTTGATATGATTAATATAGTATAATTAAATTATATTATGGAATAAACAAACTTCTGTAGGCTGACCTGAAATCCCCAGCATTCTCTAAAAGTATATTTTTATGCAAATTGTTTCAAATTTTGTATAAGATCTGCAAAAGAATATTTGTAGCGCAATGCTTCTATAGTTTATGATTACCTAATACTGACACATTTTTGCATTCCCCACACCTCCACTAACTTCTAGTACAAGTCATTCAGCTCGGTGATCATTTATCGGTATCCTCAGTGGATGGCACAGTGCAGGGGAGACTGACCTCAGGAGTGAGATGCATATTAGCAAGCTCAAAACTTTCAGGGCC